AGACGATAGAAGCGATATCTGAAGCTGATGTAGCTGTGTAGTAGTCGATGGTGACAAACACAACTTGGACTGCACGTATGAAGGGACTTTTTTGGACATCATCAACACATTGGCGAACGCAAATGTCTCGAAAGTGATTGTCGCGATCAACAAAATGGACGCGATGAAGTGGTCGGAGACCAAATTCAAGAACGTTGTGAACTTTGCGGAGAGCGTGATCAAGTCGTCGGGTGTTGACTTTAATAATATCCGATATATCCCTATTAGTGGGTTGAGCGGAGAGAATCTGACGTCGCCGTGTAACCAATGCAAGTGGTGTAAAGACTGTTTGTTAGACATCATCGTGCAAGAGAGTGGAGGGTATCGTAATGTCGAAGGACCACTTCGAATGGTCATCAACGAGTCGACGCGACAAGGGAATGGAAGTATTGTGAGCGGACATATTCTTCGTGGAGTGATAGCGGAGCGTGATAATGTGATTGTGGGCCCAATGATGGAGAGTTTTGTTGTGAAAAGAATGAAGAAAGGGAATGATATGGTGGACTACGCAGGTGCTGGTGATATCACCGAATTGTTGGTTGAAGGCCCAGACCGCTCGATTGGGAAGTATCAAGTCATTGGGAATCCCGAGAGTTTGCCTGTCGGTGTGAGGAAGTTTGACGCAACAGTCAAATTGAATACCTTCGACATGAGCATTCGAAGAGGGACTTTAATGCAGTTGTATACATGGAGTGGGAATAGTCCATGTGTCTTTGCACGTATCATGTTTTCTGGTGTTCGTGACGTTCATGTGAAGCCAAAGAAACTGAGTGGTAAGGTCGAGGCAAGTGTTGAAATCATATTGCAGAAACCACTTGTTCTTGAAATCGGCGCCACTGGAAAAAACCTCGGAAAGTTCTTTTTAAGATGCAACAAGACTACAATAGGGTCCGGAGTCGTCACTGAAATTAAAGATAACTGAGAGTTTGCATTGTTTTGTTTGATTTTTCAAGCATTTCACCTATTCCTCAATCGGACTTTGAGGAATTGTGTTAATGGTAAAATTAACTATACATTATAGTTTAATGTTTTGAATTAGAGAAATATCGAAAGAAACTAAATAAAGCATGGAAACTTCACTTGTGAAGTCACAAGCGAACGAAGAAGAGGAAGTTGGGATAACAGACATTGACGTTGAATCGATATCACAGAACGAAATCGAGTCGGTTCAAAAAATATTTAAAACGATGAAACGCCGGAGACTTGAAAGGAAGTTTTATGGTGTCGATTTCTTGTCGACGACGTCGATGAAGACGTCGGTAGTGTTTTTAATTTCTTTGTTGATCTATTTCATTGGGATAGTGGTGAAATTCTTTGTTGAAAGAAGAGAAGAAACGTCGGGGTCTGTTGAAGAAGACAGTTCATTCAAACAGTTTTTAACGAAGTACATCAACGAAGAGATTATTATGATTCTTCTGACTGTCTTTGTGATCTTTTCATTACGAGTAGTGAGGTTTGTATCATTCAAATGTGTTCAGAGACTTCATAGAAAATGACAAGAAGACCACTTCTAGTTGTTTTGATGTTTGAGTTGTACTGGTTTTGTATAGTGTTTTTCTGGAATGAATTTTATAACTCGTTTGTGACTATAATGGTGTGTCTGTTGTGTCTACTAATTGCTGTGATATTAACAATTCTCTCTTCAAGCATTTTTCTGTTTGTAATTCGGCACCTCCCCGTGTTGTACTTCTTAAGCCCCGTCATCACTTCTATCAATGAGTCGACTAAGGGTGTCCGGAGGTACAACTTACAAACCAAAAATTTGATCACACGAAAAGTCCAGAGTTATACACTGGAAGGGAGGACTGAGGGGAGTTGTGTTGAGGGGTCTATTGTATGGGGTGACAATGAAAATTATGGGGAAACCCTGACTGGTATATGGAAGAATGGGCAGTTAGTCGGTCCATTTGAGTCATCGATAATCGGGGTCCGTTCTTTAGTGAAATCCGTTCCAATAATATCGTATGAAGCTTATAATGATCGTGGGATCTTTACATTAGTGTACTCTCTTATATCCGTTGAGTGTTGTTATTCAGGGAAGATGTTATATGTTTGTTCAGTTATATATAGTATATGTATAGTATATAATAGTTAATAGTATAATTAAACTAACAACTAGAACTTGCCTTCTGTTACAAAAGTGCATGAACGAGTGTGTCAGTGTGTTGGAGATTGTCATTGTGCGTCAGAATTCTTTGAAGAGATAGGAAGTGATAGTGAAGAGTCATCAATGGATATGGTGAATGTTCAATTTGATCATATTAATAAGAGTATTGTATTACCAGGCATGTCGAATGTGTGTGAAGGGAATTTGGAGAAGATCTCACTGCGCATTAAGAAGAGAACGGACTCGAAAATGCGAACGATAACAGTGAGTGGGATAGACACGAGTGATATGAAACAGTGTCTTATCTTTTTGACTGGGTCAATTCACAAAGAACAACGACAAAAGGAATTTGCTCAATTTTTGGCGTTGTCGAAATTACCAAAGAGTGTCACACCAGTTCTAGTCAATTTGTCACAGAACGGGGAAATGCCAGATTATAATGATTCATACCTTCATGTTGCATTTTCTAATGTGTTACAGTCGATTATATTAGCACAAACAAAGAAGATTAATATCTTTGCAATGGGGTTTGTTTATTTATATGCAGATCTGTCGAATACTCAATATTGAAATGAATAATCATATATAGAGATACTATCATCTTCTTGTTTAAAGCATATTACCTCTTTAGAACACTGCTTGTGGAAAATGTCCAAATAGAGAACTTGATGATAGTCAATCCTTTTGATATACCAGAACTCTTATATAACGAACATAAAAGAGCGTGTATCTCACTCTTCATGAACGTCAAAAGAATCACTCTCTATTCTAACACATTCTCAGTCAGCGCTAGCACTTGATGCAATTCATTTTGAAGACTAAGAAACAATCACACCTCAATCCTCAATTCGATAATTTGGACATCATCGATGTCGACGACTTGGAACAGGTGGACTACTTTTCTTTTAATGAAGTGTTCATTCAAGACGTCCTCGAACTGATAGGTTTGTTCCTTTTTCTGTCGATAAGCTTCCAATAGAAATACAAGCAACCTCTTCGTTTGACATAGAAATAGCTTTTTATAAGAAAATAAACTATATTTAAATAGTAACTATGGAAGTGACTCAATAGTCAAAAACAAGCCCGCACGTCTCCGATTAAACTCTCTACAACAGTACGCGCCAAATTTCTTCAAATTTTCTCTTGTTCCAAAGTCGGTTCGGATGGTATAGATGTGTTGTATCAATTATTATAATACTACATTTGTTAACATTTATTACTAAATAACTAGTTGATATTACTACTGTTTTGTATAGTTTAATTATAGTATATTTGTTATTACCAGATACTACAAGTGATAGTTAGTAGTATAATAAAAACAATTAAAAACAATAAAAATAACAAAATAATAAAATAGAACAACACTTCTCACCGATTGAACTTAAAAAGAGAAAGAAATGGCAACAAACGCGGCGTATATTGATATTCAAGAAAGTCACATGAAAGAATTAAGTAACTCTGATTTAACCAAACTGAATGCGATTGGTGTGGACATGTCGAAGAACGAGTTCACCAAATTTCCTCCAGTACTGAAGAACTTGACAGCACTGACACATATTAATGCTGACGGGAATCAAATTTCGTCGCTTGAGAATTTGACGCTCTTCACAAATTTGTCGAAGGTGGACGTCTGCAAGAATTGTGTGACGGAAGTGCCGAGTTGTTTGACATCACTGACGAAGTTATTTCAATTTTCGCTCTTTGCGAATCGGATCAGAACGTTTCCGAACGGGTTTTGTTACTTAAAAGAGCTGAACTTGGGGTCGAATGAAATCTCTGAAATTCCGTTACACTGGGATTTGCCGAGTCTGACGTCTGTAGATTTGAGTCAAAACAACTTATGTCGAGTCGAAGGGATAACTAGTCTAAGCAATTTGGTTGTGATGAATTTGGGGACGAACAAAATCACATCATTGCCATCGATTGGGTGTTTACTGAAACTTGAAAACATTGACGTTTCAAACAACCGAATAGGGAGTTTGCCGATATCGATAACACAATTGACGTACTTGTCTTCATTCAATGGAGACTATAATCCAATTAAAAGTCTTCCGGAGGGGTTTCTGAAGTTAAAGTCGTTACGACTGATCTCATTGTGTCACTCCCAATTTGAAGGCTTTACAGAACCCCTTGGTGCGTTGAGTCGATTACAAACACTGATGGTGTCGAATTTGAACTTAACAACTTTGCCGAAGGAAATTAATGCAGTGAAGGAGATGAGGACACTTGATGTCAGTAATAACAAAATAGTCGAAATCACCGCTCTTCCGAAGACGACCGACGACTTCATTGCTACAAACAATTTGATTAACACGTTCTCACCGGAAGGGACAATTCAAATTGGATTCATCTCTTTACGAAACAACGATTTGGACCATTTCCCTTTGAAGTTGAATGAAATTATGAACCTCCAAAACTGCGACTTGTCGAAGAATAAAATCACTACTATCCCAGACATCCCCCTCGAATTGAATTACTTGAGAGCTATCGACGTCTCATTCAATTTGCTCACTTCTATCCCCCCTATCTTCCAAAGATGCCCAAAACTCACAAAACTCAACGCGTCGTATAATCACTTGACGACGTTCCCCCCACTCTCTTCATTACAAAACTTAAAAGTCCTCCTCCTCGCTGGAAACTTGATCAGCGAAATTCCTCAAGAACTCTCGACGTTGACTAACTTGTCGCTCCTCCATTTGGCTAATAATAGGTTCACAGACTGCCCAAAGATCTTGTCGGAGTTGCCCAATATCCAGCGGCTGTCGTTATGCATGAACTCGTTGACGACACTTCCGGACTTTGTGAATAAGTCGCTGGTCTCATTTGATGTGTCGAACAACCGATTGACCTCCGTGCGACTCCCCGACGCCCCAAATCTGCGACGACTGAAATTGTCGCACAACGCGTTAGTTGAGATTCCAATGAACCAAACCAAACTTCCAAAACTCGAGATATTGGACTTGTCATCGAATGGCCTGTTAGACTTCAAAGTCCATCCCTTGGAATTTCCATCATTACAAGTACTAGACTTGAGTCTCAATAATTTGTCGAGTGTCCCAAACATCGGGAAAAGGAAGTTTGTGATTCGAATGGACGGGAACCCGAGTTGGCAAGCAGTCCAATTTCCATTTTTGAGCAAATTTAACCGTCCAGAGGAATTTATGACGGAGGCGGCGTCATTCTCCTTTTGCTCGAAATGTAGTAATAGAGAGGAGATGCAAGACTCGATCATCTGTATACCGAATTTTACAGCACCGGACCACTTTCTATTTGCAGCAGTGGATGGACACTTGGGGAATGTCGTGTCGAATACCTTCTCACAAAAGTTCCCTGCACTTCTGTACGGATTTTTAAAGACTACGGACGTCAGAACGGCTTTCTTCCAGGCGTTTGAAGAAATCCAGAAACAACTCACAGAAATGAAAGTCACGGACGGAGCAGTCGTCACCGTGTCTTTTGTCACACCAACACACATTCACGTCGCACAATGTGGAGACTGCAGAGCAGTGTATATTACAGACAATGAAGTGTATCAAATGTGTGACGAACATACTCCCGCCAATCCACAAGAATTTAAAAGGATTAAAGAGTACGGGGGGTATACGGAAAGAGGACGAGTCTTTGGAGATTATATTGTGTCGAGGTCGATTGGGGATATCGCCCTCAAACCAGTCATTTCGGACTTGCCGGAGTTTGTGAGCATCAAACGAGTGAAGAACGAAAGGTACTTCATTGTTGCTTCTGATGGGTTGTGGGATCAATTGTCGAATACTGACATCGTTGCATTATTAAAAAAGAAAAAGGACTGCGTCAGAATAGCGGAGTTGTCGTCTATGCTCTGTGATGTTGCGTTTGTAATGGGTTCGACAGATAACATCTGTGTCGTTGTTTGCAAATTAATATGAGTTTTTTATAGTTTCTGTTACTATTAAAGTTGGTATGGAGTAAAGCGATTAATAACTTTAAACTTAATAAAACAATAGTGGGAATGGCTTATGTGTTGTTTGTGTTTCCCTCATTCACTTTTAATTGAAAGATAACCAACAGAAAAACAGACATCCAATTTCCAAATGAAGAAGTCGCGAAAATGGTTGTCGACGTTGTCAGTGTCGATAAAGAATTTAAAAAGAAAGAAGTCACCCGTGTGTTGAGTGTTTTTGGGAATCTCCTTAGAATGTTTGTTGCGATGGCAGTTCAAATAGCTTTGAATTAAATTAATATCATATAATATCATAATAATAATACTCTCTATTATATAATTGACATTAAGAGAATACACTTCTAACGACTTAAAACTGATTCGAAATGGGTTTTCAACGTTATGCGAACACATCCATCTTTCGCTCCAGACTATTCAAGAATTCCAGTGATTTCTTTGTTTCATTTATTAGTTACAATGATCTATATAATATAGTTTACCAAAATAGAATATTTTCTAATATATAATACATATTAAAAGGGTTATTGAAGAAAAGAAATGAGTCTGCAAGTGACTTATTGAGTCACGAAAAAAAATAACTCAAACTCTAATTGTGAAGAAGATCAAATGAGCGATTCACAACAACAGGACGAAACAGAAAGTTCATACACGCCACCGTTGGAATCATCGCAATATGGTAATGAGAATGACAACGCTGAAAATTATGAAGAGTACATGTCACAGGAAGACACTGATGGTGAGAATTATCATGAAGAGGAAGAAGAGGAGAACGAGAGTTATGAAGAAGACCCCGGACCTGTCGACCCAAGTGTGATTGAAGGGTTATTACGAACAATGGAGGGATTTAAACAGCAACACGAAATGGTACGAGCAGAAAACAATCAACTCAAAGAAGAGAACGAGAAGTTAAAAAGTGTAACTGAGAGTCTATCTGTGTCCGCGAATGAAATGATCGCACAAATCAGAGCGTTGAAATCAAAAGTCGAGGGCTTGGTCATGGACTTGGAAGTGGAGAAGGAATCGCACAATATAACACTTCAACGACTTTCTGAGGCGGAGGGGAGAGACACCACACAACAAGAGGTGAATGGCAGTTTCTATTTAACAAACAAAATCACGGTGATCAATGGGAAAGTAGTTCAGTCTGATGTTGTGACTGAATTTCAAGAAGAGTTACTTGGACTACAGCGAGACAAAGATGGTCTCTTACATATGATTACACAACTGAAACTTGATTTGATGCACAAGTCTGATATGGACAAACTCCTCGAACAAAAGTCTAAAGAGATTGAAACATTGAAAACCAATCTTATTGACTTGGAGGAGAGCAATAAAAGAAATGAAAAGGAACTTGCACTTGTGAAAGAACAAAAACTCGACACGTTGGTTGAAGGAAAATTACCAAGAAAATCGATCATGCAACTCAAAAACATCTGTGCAGGTATTGGAACACCTAACTCAATGCTTTCAAGTGAATCAAAAAAAGAAGGTGCGATGAAAAAAGAACTTTT